CCATGGGTCCTCCTCCTTTCCCTGGGCCCTGGGCTCTGCCTCCCTCTTACCCCCGCCCCCCATCTCACTTTCCCCCATGTCCTCGGCTTCACCTCCTCATAAAGCTGTCACAGGCCAGGACGTGGCTATTTCCTCTGCCTACACAGGCAGTATACTTGTTTATGCTGGCCTTTTTCGGTGACCTGGACATGTCCCACTCCATGCACAAGCTGGAGCCACTGATTCAGCTGCCCCCCAGGGGCTGGTTGGAAATAGGCCAGCTCAGGCCGGGCCCAGCTCTTCCCCTCCCCTCAGAAGAGAGGAGGCTGGGAACATGCTGCCTCTGCCTCCCTGTCAGGAGCCCTGGGACCGTAAATTGCTCTCATTTGACGGCAAAGAGCTTGTCCCTAAGAGGCCATGAGAGCCAAGTGCAGGCCCTGAGAGGAGCCTTCTTACCTCTCTGCACTAGGAAGCATAGCGGGGCTGGAGCTGGGCGGTGAGAAGTTGTGCCCAAGGGGGGCAGGAAGTGCTGCTGTGGCTGCACGTGCTGGACACACCGCAAGTGTACATACAGGCGTCCAACTGCCCAGGCCTCGGTCAGCACCTCTCCCCCTGGGGCAGCAATGTTTTCACAGTGTCATAGGCTCTGTGCTGCCCTCTGCCAGGGCAAACTTACTGTTTGGCATAGTAGGCCCAGCATCTAGGGTACACATCCAGTAAAAGGGGATGCTACCACGTCACAGAGGATATCCTGTGTGGGAAAATGCATGGCATGGTGCCTGGTATACAGTAGGAGCTCATTCCCCATGAGTTCCCTCCTGGGCAGTGGAAGAGTTCGATCATGTCCTCACCTACCCTTTCCATGGTTCCTTTGAGCTCCAGTGTGTCCTCCCACCCCACATACCCTCCTGTCTCCCTGCTTTCACACACAAATATTTAATTGCATTTAACACACACTCCCTGGGCTCCCTGCACACTGGCTCTTCTAGACCAGACCCTGTGCTGAACATGGGGCATTCCTGTACCCATTTTACAGATGAGAGAACTGAGGCTCAGAGAGCAAAGTGGTTTGCTCAAGGTCATACTGCTAAGTAGTGGCAGAGCCAGTACTTGAATCCACTTGTGTGTGTCTCCAGGTGTCTTTCACTGGGCCTCCCTACCTCCCAGAGCTGGGCACTGTGAAGGACTCAGAGATGAGCCCCACCAGGATGCTCCCAGGCTAATGGGGACACTGATAATGTGACTGGTGCCCTAACAACCCTAAGAGGAGAGCAGATGAAAATGGCAATGATGACGCAGAAGGGGGAAAGAGCAAACCTTGCTTGAAGCTTCAGGGATGACCTCATCATGGAGACATATTGGAGTTGACTGTTGCAAGACTGGTGAGGTTTCAGGGTGATAGCATTTTGTGATAATCAACCTACATTGCTAAGGAATCCACACATCTCTCTGAGCCTCATTTTATGAATGGGAAAGCTGGGGCCCCACAGGGTTAAATGACTTGCCCACAGCCCCACAGCTAAGAACCGGCCGAGGTGAGACTTGAAGCTGGGTCCTCTGCTTCCAAGACAGTCCTGTATCCACTGCTGGCAGAGGCAACTAAAGGAGCGTGCCTGGGACACAGCTGGAGAAGGAGGTAAAGGAGAAGAGAAGGGCCGGCCGAGTGGCGCGATGGTTAAGAACTCGCTTGGGATGCCAGAGTGCCCCGGTTCGGATCCCACATGTGAGGGCCAGTGACACTGCCCTCCACAGCTAAGATGCTGAACAACAGCTCAACCTGGAGCTGTGCTGCCATGAGTCGCCGGCGACGGCGTGGGCTGCAGTCCCTGTGGCAGTGGATTGCCATGGGCTACCGTGTGTGGCCAGCAGCCAGCGTGAGCGGCCAGCAGCCGCAGTGAGCGGCCGTCCAGAAGCCGGCGACTGATCTGCCTCACCAGGGAAGAGCGCAATGATGGTGCCAACTTGGGCCAGTGAAGCAACGTCCTCCACAACTAGATTGAAGAACAAAGCGACAGCAACTTGTCTGTTCCCCTTTCCCCAATTCCCCAGCACTGTTCCCATCCCCCCAATTCCCCAATAAAAATCTTTAAAAAAAAAAAAAAGGAGAAGAGAAACGTGCTGGATAGGACGAAGCTGCATTTTGGGGTCCTCACTGCCACAGTTTGACAGTCAACTGGGGGAGGTGGAGGCATTGACAGTTAGTGAGCAAGAAAAACATAGGATGACAGTTGGCTTTAAAAACATTCACCTGGTACCATGCACAGGTGGAAATCGGCAGGAGGCAAGAAAGGAGGTGAGAGACTGTCCCTAACATCCAGGTGGAAAGGAATGCAATATGACCCGGGGTGCCTCAGACAGTGGGGCTGCATACAGGCGACGCCGTGGAGTTAGACTAGACAGGACACAGCTAGTTCCCTTTTAGACCCATGTGACCTAGCCCCTATGATCCCATCTCCTCTCACTATCCCCTTAATTCCTGCATCCCAGCCACGCTGACCAGGTCTTATCTTGGAAAACACCAACTTTGTCCGCACACCAGGGCCATTGTACTTGCTTGCTACTTCCGCTGCCCAGAACTCTTCACCCTGGATCTGTGCATGGCTCATTCCTTCTCCTCCCTCAGGTCTTGGCTTCAATGTCACTTCCTCAGACAGGCTCTCCCTGAGCACCCTATTGAAGTAACTGCCCAGTCACTACTACCTCATCCTGCTTTACTGCCTTCATCGCTCTCATCATAGCTGAAGTTAGCTTGTGTACTTGTCTACTGCCTACCTCCTTCCACTCACCCACCTATCGTGTGCTAACGGCAGGTGGGAACCTTGTCTGTCTAGTTCACACGGTATTCTCAACAGAGTCAGGCATGTAGCAGACATTCCACAACTACTTGTTGAATGGCAGAATTGAATGAGTGTTTGGATGGATGGATGGATGGATGATGGGGAAAGGTCAGATGCAGGAAGGGGTGATGCTTGATTTGGGGATCTGAGCTGGGCAGCCAGGAAGATAACAGTGCCGCCAACGGAGACAGAGCAGGCAGCAGAAAACAGAGTGTGTGCTCTGGAAAGATGATGAGTGTGACTTGGGCCTGTTGAGTTTGATATGCACGTGAGGCCTCTAGGAGGAAAGGTCCACTCATGCAGTGGGAAATAATGGCCTGAGCTCAAGGATGGGGACCCTGGGTAGTGATGAAGGTGGAAACTCAAACAATGGCTGTCAGCGAGGTCCGTAAAGAGCAAGGTGAGACAAGGAGGAGAAGGATCAGGAAGAACTTGGAGGAATGCTTGAGGTTGGGTGGGGCAGATGGAGGAGAGAAGTGGGAGGGGCAAGGAAAGAAGGCCAGGAACTGTGGTCAAAGAAGTGGGAAGACACCTCCTTGCCTAGAGGAAGGAGGCCTCAAGAAGGAAGATATGGCCATGGGGCCACATTCTCAAGGAGGGGTGGAGTGAAAGCCAACCAATCAGTAGTTAAGATGCAAAAAGTTCACTGGGATGTTTTGAGTCTGGCAAGGAGGTAGGTGTGTCCAGAACGGTGGGAGCTGAGGCTGTGGGGATCTGGGAACCAAGAAGAAAATTATATGCATGCACCCAGCCACCACCCAGCCACTCACCCAAGCCCTCCCCCATAGAGCCTGACTGGCAGGCAGGAGGGCATTTAGTCATGTCCACTATCTGCTAGGCACTGCACAGCCACATTCACAACCACGGGCTCATTTAACCTTGATGACAACCTTGCAAGTTACAAAGAGTTATTATCTTCTGTGAGGAAAAAGGAATCAGAAAGGTCACACAGCCAGGCAATGATGCAGCTAGATCTGAACCTGATTCTACCATCTACCCTCAAGCCACTCCAGCAACAGGGCCCTGGAGGCTAGAAACTAATAGATCAAAACTTGCAGATAGACTGTTCAATCCCCACATGGGATTTCACCATAGCATAGTTTCTTTGAGTTACCGGGTCAGAGGGAGCACAAGAGGAGAAAGAAGAGGCGACAGGGTTGGGAATTTGAGGATGAGAGTTCTCTGGCACCAAGGAAAGGGAAAGGCCAGCTCAGGGTGGGTGACAATATGGCTAAAGGCTAGAAGCGGCCATGGGCCCTGCCCGCCATGTGTGTGGGGATAAGGGCTGGGGCCTACTGGCCATGGCGGTGCATTCATGGACTGCACGGTGGGCCTGGCAGAGAGTCAGGCTCTATGGGAGCCTCTGCTTTATGCACTAAGGCCCAGAGAAGCTCCCCTGCTTGGACTACCTCTCCCAGAATGCGAGACCCAGGGGGGCCACACAGGGCAGCTGGCCCAGAGCAGCCGAGTCCAGAGCCGAAAGGATGGGGGGATCCTCTGGCTCTTCCAAGAGCCCCCCTCATAAGTATTTATCTGTCTCCTAGCAACCATCGCCTGCGTGGTCCTTTTCATACCGCCCATTAACAGCATGCTTACCCCATCCTCTGTGCCATCAGCCAGCCTCCTTCCATGCCCAGGTGGGGCAATGCCTGTGCCAGAAGGCCCCCTGGCTGCTTGCCTCAGAAACTGCTGGCCCCAGCTTCACGCTGGTGACCCTTAATGCCCGTGCTGTTTGACCCATCTGCCACCCACACACACAGGGTGCCTCCACTGTTTTCCCAAAGGTGAGGGGCTGACAGGCCCTCTGCTCACCTTGCCAAGACTCCCAGGCAGCAGTAATGCCCACAACCTCTGACCCCGACACCGAGCCTATGTCCTAACCCACCCCCAGTCTCCAGCCCATCACCTCAGCAAAGACAGCCAGAGGGCATCTCTAGTAATGAACGCTTTATTGTCCTGCCAATGGGGTCACGTGGCTCCTGCTCGCCACCTCCCCCGTCTCATGTTAAGTGCCCTGCCCCCCACCCCATTCCCCCCCAGATTACAGTACACTCATGATAGAACATATCTGTGTGTATATAGATGTGTGTATGTATATATATCTATATATACACAAATACCTATACATATTCGGTCTGTACAGTATTTATAGGTACAAATAAAATAGGCTTAAAAATTACAACATTGACTAGGATCCAACCCACTCCAGTTTATTTGGCCAACAGAAACATGAGTTGACATTTGAATGGAATCTGAACTTCCACATAAACCAAGATGGCCGATGGGTGGGATGGATCAGGTTTGGATCAAGACCCAGCTAGCTGGGATGACACTAGGCCCTGCCGTCTGGCTGGCTGGCCGCCTGAGCCAGGCTCTCTGCTTGAGGAAGGGGCTATGATGCCGGCCTGCTACAGCAGGCACGGAGGGCAGGAGAAGGGATGCAGACACAGATCCGTGTTCCTTGTCACCATCTGTTGTTTCTGCTCGGCCTGTGTGGTGGGAGCGAGCCTGTTTACTCTCCAGCCGTGGCAGTGTATGGCCAAAGGCTGCATGGGACCCCAGGGAGTGGCAGATCAAGCCAGGGGAGACTGGTTCATTGGTCTCTTGAGACATGAGAAAGAAAGGTTCCCCGCCCCCCCCCCATCTCACATCCCAAGCTATCCCAAATCGTCATGTCGCATCCTAGGGACTCGTCAGCGCCCAGTCTTTAAATCAGCCTTGTGAAAACCAGCATCATATTTACACATATAAAACAGCTCAAGGTGGTTGGGACTGCCCTGTGCTCTGCCCCTGTGCCTAGTCTAATTTCTCTGGAAAAGCCAGCGTAAGGCCAATGTTGGGCCCAAAGGCAGGACCAGAACCTCCTGTCCAACCTCAAAGAGACCCTAGCAGCAAACAGGATGGCTTGGCATCTGAGAAGGGCACTGAGCTGCGAGCACACACTGCTCTCTCCTTCCCCCGCAGGTGGGGGAGCCGGTAAGGCTCCGTGGGCCTGGAGAGTAGCGGGGATCTTGCTCCTAAAATGGCTCCCCTCTCCCGGGAGGGCAGGACATAGGCATGGGGGTGGGGGTAGAGTGGAGACGGGACACTGAGATTCTCTTTTCCTCCCGTGTATGTGCAGAGGAGGTTCAGGCTGTAAGAGGGACAGGCCCCTGGTAGCAGCATCTGGGGGCTGCTCTGCTCTCACTGCCAGCCACCCTGGAACCAGGATGAGGTTCACAACTTTGTCTCAGGACCAGCTGCCCACAGGGTGGGGAAAGAGTCCCGGATCTTTGCCACTTCCATGGCACACAGGTGCCCGAAGACTTTGTTGTACCAGTCAGGAGAACGGCCCCTGGGGAGGCAGAAGCAGGCAGGCATAAGCTGTGGCTTCTTCCCAGAAGCCCTTCCCAGGGGGAAGGAAGAAAGGGATGGGGCCAGGGCGCAGGGGCGTGGTACCTTAGGTCAGCGCGGCAGATGTGGGTGAGCCGGGATCGGCCCAGGCCGCAAGGCTCCATGAGGTACTGGGAAGTGAGCATCAGGGCCCGTACCCCCGACTCTGGAACGGGCTGCTCAGGATCCAGGGACTGGGACACAAGCAGGCAACCCCCGCGGGGCAGGTCAGAGCGCCACATCCTGTGCAGAGGGGACACACACATTCAGGTTCCCGATGCTGGTTCCCCTCCCCCCAGCCCCCTAGGCACAGCAGGGTGACAGCTGGAGCCCCTCACCGGAGCACCACAAAGTCGCGGCAGGGATGGGGTGCCATGCTGTCGGTGACATAGTGGTACAGCTCCACGCCCGGCATCAGGGCCTCCAGCACCTGGGCCCGCAGCAGGTCCTCATCCCAGAGGGCCCGCTCCCGCAGGATACGGTGCAGCACCACAGCTGGAGGGGCCGCCACCTCCGTGGATGCCTTCCACACACGCAGCGGGTGCCCATCCGGTGCCTGCAGACCACGGCAGTGGGGACAGGAGGCAGCTGTCAGGACCGGAGAGCTCCCACTCCCCCTCCAGCCCCCAAGGAGGGAAGGCTACAGGGTTACTGTGCCAACAACCCTGTGTTCCCTGGACTCTCTCCTTTCTATGTCTGCTTCTGCGCCTGCTCAAGAGCACAGATACATGACAGATACGTATTGTCTGAGGCCTCCTAGGCTGTACCATGAAATGGGCACAGTCCTTGGAATTACTGGAAGTGAACAGGAAGATGGTGATGGTCCTTCTGTACGTGCCCGGCGCTGTGCCGGCTTCTCACTTTGACCCTGTAAGGCAGGTTTCACTGTGACTGGTTTATACACGGCAAACCTCAAGGGTGCAGTCTTACTCATAATAAGAATCTGAGGAAGGACATGGCTAGTGCCAAGACAGGGACAGAGAGAAGTCACCTGCAGCCTGCGGCATGACAGCAGGCTCTGAATGGAGGTGGAACATATCCAGCTGGGGCTTACAGTGGCCTGGGGAATGTAGTGCTTGGGGCAGGTCAGTCCAGGTAGCGGGACAGCATGGGTGGAAACACAGCGTGACTGTGGTACAGGGAGACATGGGAGGCGAGGCTCCAGAAGCAATGACATGTCTAGAGTAGGGCTTTGAGAAGGTAATTCTGGCAGATGATGCCTGAGAGGTAGCCTTGGTCTCATTGGGCTCCAAGTATCAGGACAACACAAAGCGACACTGGATGGGCAACTCCTTCCTTTGGGGTCCCTGACCCCTTGCCTGAACCATGCCCTCTCCCAGCCCCGTGACAATCATGAGAAGTGTGGTACTCACCTTCCGGCATGCCAGCTCCGTGTGCTTGGGCCCTGGCACACTCATCCAGCCCTTGAAACGCTCAGCAGCATCACGCAGCAGCTCCCGCACGCTCTCCTCCATGTAGAGACTCAGGCTCATGCCAGCAGCTCGGGCCTGCCGCAACTCAGCCAGGGCTGGGCCAGGAGGGCTGAGCTCGGCGGCACTGTAGGAGCCACACAGTTGCACCACCATGTCCTGGGGCACCTGGGACGGCACACACACACACACACACCGGGCTGGGGCAGACCCTCAGACCCTCAGTCCCAGAGCATCAGGTTCATGTTAAGCGGGTACAGATGCCTGGCTACTGCAGTGGGGTAGATGAGAAACCTTGCCGGGAACAGTTGGAAGTAGGAAGTTGAGACGTATGTGTCAAGTTGGGTCCTGTTCCTCACTTGGGGTACAAAGGTCAGGCCTGATAGTTCTCCCAGGGTCTGGGAAGTAGGCACCATGGCCTGGAGTTACTCACCTGGAAAAGTTTCTTGCAGTCACTGATCATATGTGATAGGCCCTGGGTGGCAGCCATGTTCTCACTCAGGTCCCGAGGGCCTGGCCGGCCAATCAGGCTGCGTTTGCTCTTGATCCTGGAGGGAGGGGCCGAGAGAAGAGAATGGCACAAAGGGATGAGACAAGATGGCTGACAGGCTGGTTTCCTGCTCCCCAGAAGTCAGCTTGCCAGTCCTGAACACAAAACAACCTGCTATCCTTTAGAAGGCTGGGCTTCACAGCATCCTACCAGTCCCGGGCCCCTGAGGACTCAGGCTGACCTCTTGTGGTGATGCCTGGAAACTGCAGGGCCAGCCATCAAGGGCCAAAAGTCCAACGGGGATGGATGAGGGGACATGGGGGGGGGGCAAACCGTCCCTGCCTGGCCCAGCCACATGCTACCCTGTTTCACCTGGGTGAGGGGCTATCCTTCTTGGAGACGTTGAGGTGGAAGATGGAGGGCGCCAGGCACACTGCCAGGTTGCCGGCTGTCATCTGGTTTTCCTCAGCAGAGGCAATGTCACTTAGGAAATACAGGAGGGTCTGCAGCACCTCTCGGTTCTCATCCGGGAGCAGCAAGGTGGCAGCTTGCGCTGCTGCCAACCACTGATCCTTGGGGAGGACTGTGGGGAAGGAATGGTAAAAGGGCTTCCTTATTCCCCGAGAGCCTCCGGCAGCATGCCGGGGAGACAGAAGGGCTAAGATGGGCTGTGGCAGGTCTCAGTGCTAGATCAAGCTGTGCTCACATGCGCAGTGGAACCTTAGGTAAGGGCCTGCCTCTCCTCGGGGCCTGAGTATATCTTTCCATAGAGTGGGTTTGGGGGACCTGAACATGGTTTCTCCCAACTCCACATCGTAACTCTTCCAATGAGTATTTGGGTGTGGCTTCATTTGCTTGCACCATGTTTACTGTCCACGAGCCCTAGGATTCAGGGCGGCTAAGAATGGGGCAGGTTGTCAGGGACATGTAAAGGCGACTCACGCTGGTAGATCTGTAGGAAAGTGGTGGTGAGCTTGCTGGTGAAGATAGGCTCAGGCAGGTCTCGGAAGTACTGCTTCAGCAAGTCAGCCACATCGTAGGCCGACTGGCCCTCGTAGCAGACATTGTCCGGGGAGGTCTCGTTCATTTGGCGCAGGTTCTGGATCCGAGACTTCACCCCAGACTTGCGGAAGATGCCCACCTGGCCGGGTCAGGGACGGGGAAGCATGGAGGAGGAGACCGTGAGGCCAGGCCCGGTCTGGGAGTCACAAGCATAGGCCACCCCAGAGATTTTCAAGCCTGGCCGGCTTCTTGATGGACAGGGTCGGAGACAAATGGCAAAACCCAAGGAAAGGGTTTTTACAGCCTCTGGCAAAGAACGATGGCTTTAGTGGAAATGAGTAGGGAAAGAGGGATCTAGGCTAAGACACGCTCCTGGAAAATGGGGACTAGGGCACCCGGGCCAGAAAGAAGGAAGCTTCAATTCCACGCTTGCCAGGCCTTCCTGAGGCTAGGGAAGGCCTCTGGTGGGCCAGCCCAACCTAGGGAAAAGGAGCACAGCAGAGCAGCTCCCTGCCCCAGTTTCTTAGCCTTGGACTTCCTCCCCAGCACCATCTGTCCATAGGCATCCCAAGACGGCTCACCTGGTCCAGGCACTGGCTGCGTAAGTAACGCATGGCTTGCTGGATGCTCTGGGGCAGTGGCTGGCCTGTGCGCTGCACGTGGATGAGGGGCGGCACCCCAAACACGTGCTGGCCCCGGTAGTCTGGGGTCTTGTTCCTTTTCATGAACTTGGGCACTGACCTGTTTGGAGGAGTGACAAGAGATCAGGAAGGGGTGCGGGGTAGGCCAGGACACAGCTTGCAGACTGTGCAGTCTTTGCGGGTGGGGGAGGGGGCTCAGGCAGGGGTGAGTGGGTGTACGAAACACACCATATCCCCAAAGTCAACATTCACTGAACTCCTGCTCTGGGCAGGTAGTCACACAGGAAGAGAGGGAGCTCTCCATCTGGTTAAGGAGATAATTGTGTCAAGAGGCAGTGACAATATACATGGCCAGGAGTGGGCCAAGAACTTAGGGGAAGACCCATGGGGGAGGGGAACTCTATCCAGGGGCTCAGGGAAGGCTTCAGGAAGGAGGTGGACATTCAGCAGGCTCTTGAGGGATAAGCAGGCATTGTCCCAGCCGAGAAATGGGGAAAGGCTTTCCAGGCTGAGAGAACAGCATTCAGGGAAAGGCACATTCAGGGAATGGCGACTGCTCCACTGGCCTGTACATGAAAGGATCCTGATGGAAGGCACCCGACCCTCATACTTTGGCAATGGGGAGCCACAGAAGGGTGCTTATCAGGAGAGTGACAAACAAAGCTGCATTTTAGGACAATCTTACTCGTGCAGCATGGAGGTTGGAGTGGAGGAGGACCCTGGGTTCCCCAGCGTCACCACCACTCCTCATCATGGGTAGCACACATACTCCTGTGCATGCCATGTGCACCCCCCGCAGACATATGCAAGCCACCCAGACCCACGCTGGCGTCTCAGGCCACGACCCTCCAGCCTCCTGTGGGCTCTGCCTGTCTGCACCCGCCTTCTGGGGCTGAGCCTCCCAGGGCCCCGGAGCCTGCACAGGGAGGGGTGCAGGTGCACTCACCAGCCCCAGCCCTGTTTGTGGGGCACAGTGTATTTCTCCATGAAGGCCGTGAGCCGCAGCAGGGAGCCCTTGTGCAGCAGGTGGATCTGGCTGGCAAACTGCCGGTTGATCTCCAGGGACTCGGAGTTGAGGCTGGGCCTGTGGGAGTTCTGGAAACTGTGCCAACGAAGCTTCCTGGGGAGCGCGGGGCGGGGGTGGAGAAGGCCAGAGGGGCAGGTTTGGTCAACCTTAGAAGGGGCCGTATTCTTCTGATCCTCTTTTTTACCCCAAAGAAAAAAAATGCAGGGAGATGGGGCCACTGTCCACATTACTGCTGGGCCCAAGGGTGAAAAAACAGCTTCAGCTTCCAGGGCTGCCCAGTGGCCCAGACACTGTCAGGGAGGTGGCACAGACCTCAGGCCCATTTAGTGCCAGCGAGGAGTACCAGTGGAGGGGCTGCTCTGAGAAACCCAGAGTGGAAAAGCTGGGCTCAGAGGCCATCTCCTCTAACGCTGTCCATTTACACACAGGGAAACCGAGGCCCAAAGAGGAGCTAGGATTTGCTCAAGGCCACGGCAGAGGCAGGTCTTGAACCTAACATTCTGGATTGTTGCGTTCTGCACTCTTGCTATTTCCCTCCTGTGACTAGCTGCCTAAAGTCAATCATCCAGCCCCCAAGAACGTGCCCCTGGGCCTCATAACTAAGAAATGGCTAGGGGGAAGGGGCGAAGATGGAGGGGGTGGGAGAGGGGAAGAATGGGGGGAGGGGGAGAGACGGACACAACAGAGCCCCCTGCCCCCACCCCTACCCTGAACTCCCACCTGCAGGGTCTGGTAAGTGAAGCCCCAACGCCTGAATCTCGTCGTTCATAGGGTGCTGATGCCTGGAGTCCAGCCAGGGACCCTGCAGCTTCAGCCTCGTTCATGGAGTTCCTGCTACTGTCCAGTTCGCTGGAGGATGCCACAGTGTCAGAAATGGAGTGTCCTTCTTCCACAGACAGGCTGGACGCAGAGGTGGGTTCCCCACCCGAATTTGCCTCCTGTTCGTTACCCTGGGCCGGGCCCAGGGCCTTCACTTCAGCCTGTCCCTGGGGCTCAGCTTTGGCTGGGTCCGGGATGACTGCCTGGACATTAGCCTGGCCCGGAGCTGAGGCCTCTCTAGGGGCTGGAACCTCAGACTGACTTTCAACCTCAACTGTGGCTATTTCTACTGATGAAGTGGCTTCCTCCTCTTCTTCGTCTTCTTCCTCTTCCTTATCTGCAGGCCCCAGGTCTGGGTATATGGCCTGAGACCAAAGCTCTACGCGTTGCTGCAAGCCCCATACGTGGTGGAGGATGTCGTCTAGGTGAGCATAGCTGCCCCCAGCATCCTCCTCATCTTCGGCCTCAGCCTGAGCCAGTATAGGCTCAGCTGAGTACAGCTCTGGCATGTTGTCATAGGTGCTGGCATGGCTGCCCGTGGAGCCACAGGAGCCCCGGCGCCCTTCACAGCCCCAGCGCCTACCTGGCTGCCAATCAGCCAGATGGTGTCCATCCTCAGGACACAGGCTCTCAATGGACAGGGAGCGAGGGAATGTGCCTGGTTTGTGGTCCCTGGGCACATGCACCAGGCAGTCACCCCTGTGTACCCGTGAAGGATGCCGGAACGTAGCTACAGGCCAGACCTCCCAGGTCCTCCGAGTTTCACTGACACCACCACTGGCTGAGGTGTCTGCCCGGTTCTTGGCCCTGTAGAATCCAGCTGAGAAGAAGCCACGGCGGCTGCGGAAAGACAAGGCTTTGGTGGCCTTCTCCGAACTGGCTGGGCTATGCTCGGGCTCAGCTTTCCGGCTGCCACCCTTTTCCTTCCGCCTCAGAGACTCAAGGTGCTTGAGGAAGCTGCGGGAACGGTGCTTCTTGGCTTTGTCCTGGGGACCCTCTGGGTCCCGGGTGGGTCTGAGGAGGGACAGGTCACACGGGCTTGGGGCACGGCTTAGCAAGGGCAGGTCCGCTGGCTCGGGTGGTAGGCTCACAGTGATGGCTGGCAGGGAGGTGGCACTAAGCTCAGTGAGGACACTCTCACAACTAGAGGTCACTGGCAGCCCAGGACTCGGTGGAGCCAGCAGGTCAGAGGAGCCCACGCGAGACCAGTGCTGATTTTCTCGCTGCAAGGCCCAGGGGTTGCTGATGTGACACTGCTCCTCCTCTTCGGAGTCGTCATTCTGGGAAGGACACCACAAGGATGGGTCAGAGAAGTCCACCTAACAAGCCCTTGCTTGTGCTCCACTCTCTGCCTCCAAACTCTTGTGGGGTTTGGAGGCAAAGGACCCTGCTTTATGCTTTCTAGAGGAGGGAGCCGACTCTGGGAGTGTCGGAGGAAGGAAGCCAGGAGTCACAAACAGCCCAAATGGATGGTCAAGGTCATCTGATTAATCTAATACCTCCCCAATTACAGATAGAGAAACCTAGACCCACAAATGAGAAGCTACTTGTCCAAGGTCATACAATGTCACCCAGGAAGTCAGTAGCAGAGCCAGGCTAGAATGCAGGCATCTTGACCCCATGTCCTCAGCAGCCTCTCAAGTCTAGACTAGAGTCTTAGATCAGAATCACAGCATGCCAGAGCTGGGAAGGAGATTTTAGATTTTCTCATTTTCTAATTTGCAAGGTGGGAAAACTGAGGTCCAGAGAAGGCAAGAGGCTTGCCCAAGGTCACTGAGCAGTCAGTGGCAGAGCTGAGACCAGGTCCCCGGGGTCTTCTGCTTCCCAGGCCAGGTTTCTGGCAACTTGGCTGATGCACCCAACTGCAGGCCTCTGGAGGAGAAAGACCCAGAGGAAGCACAAAGCCTGACCCCAGGGAAGGATGGGGTAATCAGGTCCACATTCCAGGGCTACGTGAAGACCGACAGGCCTCCTGGCTTCTGCATTCCCAGATTGGGAGAGTCCGAACGACCTTTGGAGGCTATTAATCCCCCCCCCCCCCGACCACCACTACCACCATTCATTGTAGAGATGAGGATAATGAGGCTAGAGGGAAAGAACTTTGTGTGGGTTGGGTTGAGAACTGATTTCTAAAACCATACAGGCCATGATTTTTCTATCACAGTATTCAGTTTCTACCCCCTAGTCAAGGAATTTTTGCCATCACAGAGCAGGAAATGGGGGCAGATGGATTTCCCTGAGGAAGGGCCATCTCTAGGTGAAGTTAGTAAACCCAGGAGGGAGAGGTGGGCTGAAGTGGGTGCATGAGGACATGGGCCAGGGTACTTGTTATCACACTCCAGCTCCTAGACCAGGCCAAAACCCAGAGGCATCACAGAGCCCCCTGTACTCCACTCCCAGGCTGAAGCAAGGCACTGCTCTGGACGACCCAGACTCCCAGGGCACTGGAGCTAGTTTCCAAGTGGTTTGTATATGTCTGGGGTTCCGCATGGTGCCACAAGGCCACAGGCCCCACTGTTGCCATGCCTCACCTGCTTGCATTGAAAATGAACCTCCAGTTTCATCGAGGCACAATTGTTCAAGGTCATCAGCCTCCTGCAAGAAAATGAGGCAGTGTTCACCCAAGCGTCCTAACCCCCAACGCCTGCAGGGCATAGCCTACCGAGACACTCCCAAGATGCCATCCACTAATTCACACGCACAGCCATGGAAACTTCTCCCAAGCCCCAGTGTTTGTGAAAGTTTCAGCGTCAGGCATGATACCGGGGCAGATTATGGCCTCTGGACTCTGAGAGCCTTTACATGTGGAAAGCAACCACTACAAAGATGGGACAGGAAACAAACCAGTACAGAACAGCACCAAAGGTTCAGCAGGCACACAGAGGGAGGGACAAGGAAGTTCCATGAACAGAGAGGGGTGTTCTCAGAGAAGGCTTCCCAGAAGACAGAAATGGGATTCAACAGGAGACTAGGATAAGGGAGAGAGGGAACACAGCCAGGAAAGAGACCCGAGTGGGTATGAGGGGTGACTGAGGCAGATAAGGGCCTCAGGTGTCATGCTAAAAAAGCTTTGGACTTTTCCCTTCAGGCAGTAACACATTTTTCTTTCTTTTTCTCTTTTCTATTAGTTTCAGGTGTACAAAACAATGCACTAGTTATACTTTTCACCCCTCACAAAGTGACAACCCCCTCCCCCAATCCCCCCCCATATACTTATCTATTACAATTCCATTGACTCCACTCCCCATACTGTACTCCACAACCCATGACTATTATATTAAATTATAGTTGACATTCAGTATTATTCAGCTTCAGCTTCAGGTGGATAGTGCTGTGGTCAGGCCTCTACACCTGAAAACTGACTCTAGTGGCTGTTGGGAGGCTGGACTGGGGCAAGAAGTAGGAGGAAGATGCAAAGATGGAAGGCAGAAAGGCCAGTGAGGAGGCGGTAAAGGATCCAAGGAGTCGTGGTTAGGCCTCAAAGGAGGGCCGAGCTGGTGTAAGTGGAGAGGGAACAAATCAGAGGATTGTCTGGGGGATCGAACTGAAGTGAGAAAAGAGTCAAGGCCAGATCCTGGCTTTCCAGCTAGAATGCCTGGTGGGGTGAGGGTGTCACGGACCCAGAAGACAGAATGAGTGGGGTGACTGCGCTAGGCGAGCTTTGTTAATAGGCGGGGCCCCGCCTCTGTTAGGGGGACTGGGATTGGCTGTTTTCCACGAGGAAGCCCCAAGCCAAGCCCTGGCCTCCCAGACCTGGCCCTCAGCCCCCCCTACCTGAAAAGGGCCCCCAAAGAGTCTTCGTCCAGAAAACCGTGGTCCTTCTTCACAGAGCCAAGATCCAGGGGAAACGAACCTTCTGTATGGCAGAGAAGGCAAGATGAGTTGAGAGCAGCGGGTCAGAATCTCTGCCAGCGGCCCTTGAGCTGGAAGGGGAAGCAGAGAGGCAGGCCAGGAAGAGCAGAGCAGACAGAGGAAGCCTGGGGGCAAGAAGAACCCAGGGAGCGCGCGTAGGCCGGCGGGTGAAAGGGGGAGGGGCCTCATCAGTTAGTGGGGCGGGTCCATGGGTGACTGCAGATCTGAGGCCCTGGGCGGCTGCATAGGCTAACATGCCCCGTCCCCCCCGCCCGCCCCCGCCCCTTTGAAACTTGGGCTGCTCAGACACGGAACCTCCTCTCTGCTGCACGGTGAACTGGGGGAGCAGAGAAAGAGTGAGGACAGAAAAAACACTTCTGCCTGCTAGCCAGAGCAGGGGGCCCCAGTCCCTGGGGTTTGGGGAGGGTTAGGGGAGAGAGGAGCCAGGAAGGCTCACACCTCTCTGCCTTATTGGTAAAAAGAGCCCATTTTCTCATTTCCTAATATTCATTCCTCCTTTGTGCCAGACACTGGGGACACAACAGTGAATGAAACAGAACTGGTCCCAACCTTCCTGGACTTTTCACTCTCCTGGGTGTAACAGACAATAAACAATATGTGACACAAACAAGACAATGCAGGAACAAATGCTACAAAAGACATCAGCCAAGGTGATGGGGTCAAGAGAGTCTGGGCGGGGGCTACTCCTAGGGAGGTGGTCATCAGACACCTTTGGGGCAGTGACCTCTGAGCTGAGTCCTGAAGAATGGGAAGGGGCCCGCCGTGCAAAGAGCCTGGAAAGAGATGGTGGCAGCACTCACATTAAGGCTTCAAAGATGGAAAGGGCCCGGGGTGAGCATGTGATGGACAGGAGCCTGGGGCGTGCTGAGCGCAGGGGAGAGGAGTAAAGGGCCGTCTTGTGGGCCTGGGCTGACTTCATTGTAAGTGTGATGGAAGCCAGCAGAGACGCGCCAGAGTCAGAGCACAGGAGTGACACAGTGAGGCCTAGGCTCACAGGCGCGCTCCAGCTTCTGTGCACTCACAGGAAGGAGGTGGCACTCTAGGTCAGGTGACAGGTGACAGCAGGTCACACTGATGTGACAGTGAAGGTGGTAGGAAGTGGATCGATTCAAGATATAGTCTAGAGAGAGAAGGAACCTGCTGAAATATTAGATAGGGGGGACAAAAGAAAAGAGGAATTGGGGGTGATTTCCGGATGTGGGGCTTGCATGGCTGGTGATGCCATCAGGGGTTCAGGTTTAGAGCAGTCAGACATCTGAGTAGAGATGTTGAATTGGAAGTTGAATAGATATATCTGAACAGAGAGACATTTGAGAGTCACCAGAATATAGATGGTACTTGGACAAGGATCTCCTGGGAAAGAAATGTTGAGAGAGCAGAGGGGCTAGCATGTAGCCCTGGGGCACCCCAACACTGAGCTGTCATTTAGAGGAGCAGGAGTCAGCTAAGGAGACTGAGAGCAGCAGCCAGAGGGAGGGTTTCTAGAAGCTGAAGTGAGCGGCCAACTACACTGAGTGCTTTTGAGAGATGAAGTAAGGACTGGGAAGTGACCACTGAATTTGACCTCATGCAGGTCACTGGTGAGCTGGACAAGGACAGTGTCATTGACAAGGTGGGGCAAAGCCAGCCTGCAGTGGGGGTGTGAGAAGAAGAGGGGAAGTGAGACAGCAAGAATGAGGGATGCTAAAGGAAAACGGGAAGATGAAGGCCCGCGAAGAAACGAAGCTGTGGGGAAGGGGAGGGGAGGTGAGGGCAGGCCGCATCCATGGAACTGGCACCTGCAGTGGCCGTGCTCAAGACCAGGTGCTTTAACACCTGAGCGATGCCAGAGCTTGTGAGAGCTGAGGAGAGCCATCTGGTAGAGAAGATGATATAGGTGTAGGTACGAGCAGCGCAGTCAGAGAAGCTGCTTTGCCCCATGTTACAGGTGAAAGAACAGAGGGATGAGGCAAGTTTGGGGAAGAGAAGCCTTACCCTCAAAGAGCTGGGCATACTGAGAGAATCCTGTCGCTCGGAGCCACTCGCATGCTTTTTTGGCCTCAGCTTCTAAAACAGAACAGGGGGGAGAATGAGGTGGAGAAGTGGGGTTAGCGGGTTGATGGGTGCACGCTGCATCACCTCCAGCAGGCTGGCACCTCTAGTTCCGGTGACCCGGAAATGGCATGAGCAGCTCAGAGGGGCTGGCATATTGCCTTCGTGCCCCAGCCAGGTAGGATTCACCCTCAGCTCCCCAAGAGCCACTTCCTCTATGTGCTGAGCCCCCTTTCTTGAGCCTCAGTCCTTGCCTGTCCCATGCCTCTCCCACTCTCTCGGCCCTGCTCGGGAACAGAACCCACCAACCCCAGCAACTGCCAGGACCATCTGGGCTCAAGGAGTCCTGCTGGGGGAGAAAGGCACAGCTGTGTCTTCAGCCCTCTTCCTCGGGGAGCCATCCCCTTCCACGGCCTGTGGAGACCGACTAGTCCAGCTAGGGGTACGGAATGTTGACCAGTTATGGTTCTCTTTCACCCTCATCTTAACTAACCTTCTCCGGCACTGGCAACCAAAGCTCCTTTAATGCACACAAGCTCTGAAGAGGGCTTTAGTCTCCTGTCTCACGGATCTCCAAACCGGCTCAGCAAGGAAGGGCTGGTCGACAATCTCACAGTTTCCGGGGCAGCGGTGCTGGGGCCGGTCTGACTCCCACTCAGGGCTCCTACCCTTGTGACATGGCGGCTGCCTCAGTGCTCCTCCTCCCCCACCACTCATCATAACCCAGTGCAAACAGGCCAGCCACTGAGGAGAGCTGGGACCTGTGGGTATCTTGGAGGGCAACGGCTGGGTCAGCCTCCCTCCCCCCCGCTGCTCTGGCACTGTCCGCCAGTGGGGCATGCCTGCCAGCCTCAGTGGAGACGTGTAGCTGGACTGAAGCACAGGGGAGAGTCCCTCCTGGCCCAGCATAGGCTGAGGACCAGCAGCGAAGGCCTGGGACTGCCCAGGCAGCTATGTGTTCCCTACCCAGGTGGTTCCTGGGAGCATTGGGGCTGGGACCTGGCATAGGGGCAAGCAGCTGCTGGCTCAGCAGAGCTGCTCCCTCAGCAGAGCTGCTCCCTCAGCAGAGCTGCTTTGGCCACGCAGTCCAGCCCCGGTTTCCTTCATTTTCTTAGCACATGTGACCAGGCCACTCCAAGGAAACTGGTGGGGTTTTTCCAGGACAGGAAGTGCTCTGTCTTCCCAGTGCTCCCCAACAAGGAAATTCAGGAAGAGATGCTGGCAGCCGGAACGGATAACTTAAAGGACAAATCAGTATTTCAGGGATGCTGCATGGGTGGAGGAGGAAGGAAAGCATGTGGGAAGGTGGAAGTTGCTCAGAAAAACTAAGAGGCTCCTTAAGGGTCACACACTAACGAGGATTTGACGGGGACAAGGGAAGGCTCTGCAAGGGAGCCCCTGAGGGCTTTGGGGGCAAACAAGGATGGGGCGGGGATGCACACCTGTGCATTTCTGCAAGTGTGTGTGCCAGGTTGGTGCTGCCCCAGCATCTGTAGCCGTTTCCTTATGTCCATGATCCACATGGATTGGCATGGGCTGGCGCACTTCTATACCCACCCCCACAGACCCCTGGTCTGTGCATGCAGCTGCACATGTGCGTGTACGTGCGTGTGCGCACGCGTGTGTGTGTGTGTGTTTGTGTGTTTTGTTACTGCAGCTCTTTTATCTATGATAGAGATTTAGGAGTCATCGGGACCTCCAAGAGGTCCCGAAAGCGTCTGTTCTCATGAAGCCCAGCTAGCACCACCTCTGCCCCTCTGGCAGGGGGCAATGCTGGCCTGGGAAAGGACCCAGGTCTCTAGGCAGGTGGTAGGCTGGAAGCTGTGTTAAGAGCAGCCTGAAGGGACTTCACGCCCACTCAGGGAGCATTGGAGGGACATGGTTTCGCTGGTAGGGCAGCGCAGCTGGCTGCTACAACCATGCCCCAGTCTCCTACTCCTGCACACACCTGGGAGAAGGCCCTTTCCCCTAACAGCCAGCTCTGCTTTCCTGTCATTAGGACAAGGTGGAGGTGCCAACGGAGAGGCCAGATCGAACCTGCCAAAAAGTGGGCACAGAAGGAAACAGTGACATCTAAAGAGACATGAGCCTGATATGGCCTCCCCAGGCAGGAGAGCCCCCAGCCACTCATGGCTTGAAGCTGAACAAAGAGGAGGAGAGGGGAGGAGAGAGCTACCCGCCTGTCCATCACTCCTCTGCTCCTTCCTAAGCCTGAGAGGGCTGGGGGAGTGCAGTGATGAAGTCCTGTATCTTGCAGCATGTGCCTGAGTCACAGAGCCCACGGGAGAGTGGCAGGCTGCCTGCTCCCCTAATGCTAGGTGTGAAGAGGACCAGCTCACTCAGGTGGGTGCCAAGTTGTTTCATTCCTACCTAGGGCTCTCTGTAGCCCCTGCTATTCTGAGGGTGCTCCCTGTCCGCAGCAGCAGCAGCACCTGGGAGCTTGTTAGACATGCAGAGTCCCAGACCTACTGATCTGAACTGCCACTGAACCTGATACTCAGGTGATTTGCATGCAAATTAAAAGTTTGAGACGCGCTGGCCTAAATCACATAGCTCAGGGATTCTCAGCATTGGATGCACGTTACAATCAACTAAGGAGTTTGTATTGTAAATCACCAATTCCCCAGGGCCCCATTCCCAGAGGCTGGTTTAATTGGTCTGTGATGAGACTCTCCAAACGAGTATTTTTAAAACGCTACAGTAGGGGCATACAGAGGCCCACCTGCCCTCAGATGCCAGGTAAACAAGGGCTTAGATTCAAAGGAACCAACTCCAGGCCCTCCCAATTTTTTACTGCCCCTTCTGGTCTAGTGGAGTGACAAGTGGCGTTCAAATCCTGAGGCTGTCACTCACTCGCTCTCTGACTTTGGGCAAGTTGTTTAACCTAAGACTCGGTTTCCTCCTCTGTAAAATGGGGGTGATGGAATCCACTTCTAATAGCTACTGAGAGCATTTAATAAAATACTGGCAAGACAGAAAGACCCTTTCTGACACATACCACCAAGCACTCACCAGACGAGGCCCCTCCCGCCTCTGCCCAAAGCTTCCCAAAGGGAAATGAGAAAATGGGAGAAAGAAGCCCAGCTCGCGTCCCCTTCGGAGTCTGGAAAGTGGCCACATCCAAATCCCTGTCACAATTGGAGCCAAATGGCTCAGGGAAGTGAAGGTAGGAGACAGAAATCTTGAAGGCCACAGCAGCTCCAAAAGACAAAATAGCCAAGGAGCCTACATCAGGGCTCCAGACCGAATCCCAACAGCCCTCGTGGCAGGAATCTGGAGAATGTAATAGGTTATTGCCCAACAGGATGTTAGGGACATTGGCTCCTGACAACACACCACCCTATGGAGAGCTGGGAGGCCCTGAGGGTCCCTCGCAGATGAAGCAGTCCGGGACATATGTCTTGGTGATTAAGGGCTAAGCTCTAGCGTTTTGCCTTCCTCCCTCCCACCCGTCCCAGCCTGCCCAGGCTGGGGCCAGGAGTGACCACCCACCCCTAGAAGAGTCAGCTCACCTGGGACTGGGGCCCAGGCGGCCTGATGAGGATTGCTTTATGTGCCCGGCGGGGAGAGTGACACCGGGCAGGCTGAGGCGAGTGATGTAGGAATGTCTGTGGCCCCTGGTCCTGCCTCTGTCCAGATGTGCAGATTCCAACAGTTTCAACGGCTATATTATACAAGCTGTGCTCTGGCCAAGGATAGGGTGATATGCTAGCACAGGTCAGAGATAACACTCAGCTAGCACAAGCTGAATTCCACTGAGATTTAGGCCCAGGCCCTCCCCCTGGGGAGGGACCCAGATGATCTGAGCCATAGATTTGGGGGAGAGAGCATGCTAGAGAGCTCTGGAGTCAAATCAGGCCCCAGGGCCACACTCACAGGGAGCACCAAAGGACTGGCAGAGCAGCAGCGGCCAGTTTCCGAGGTCAGTGATGGTGTCTGCCCCTACACTCTCACAGGCCGCGGACCAGGGCTCTTAGCACAGTGTTTTGCTATGCAGAGAAGGGTGGAAGGAGGACAGAAGCAGGGCGTCTGTTCTTGAGCTGTGCTATGTGCATGATGGTAGGCTTTATGCACCCAGGAGAAACGCAGCAACACTCCCCATGGAGGAAATGCAGTAATGGCTGGCTGTGATAACTGAGCTGGAGAATAAGCTTTTTCCAATCACGCCGCTCCCTACTTGCTGCCTAAGTCATCTTAGGCAACTTGCTTCATCTGCTGAGCTTTGCTTTCCAAACCTACACTGTGAGGACTAACAGCGTTCCAGCTGGCCTTGCTGGTTACTGTCTGGGTTTGCAAATGTCTGTCTGAAAGTTGTCATTAGAGAGGGCTGCTGTTGTTAGGACTACTCGAACGGTGTGTTCACAGAGTCTATTACGCTCAGTTCAGATATCGTGTCCTAGTTGTAAAGAAGTCAGAAAGAAAGCTAGGAGGAAAAGACAAGGCAGTAGGCAACTAAGCTTTGGGAAACCAGGACTCCCCCAGCCATTGTCACCAAGCACACCCTCTCCGCGCCATTGGGGAACTCGAGTCCTTAAGCCCTTTGGTCACTCAGTGGGCCGTCACAAGCAATGGGTGGATGACACAGAGGCCCAGATCAAAGTGTCTTTCCTACGGCCGGAGTGGTAACCGCTCGACTCAGGATGCACATTATAATCTGGGGAGCTTTTAAAAATGCCAGTGCCTGCGACCCAGTCATGAATGATTAAATTAGAATCTCTAAGGAGAGGATTGCTTCTGCTTGTTTTTGAGAATTCTCCAGGTGATTCTAAGTTGCAGCCAAGATAGAGATCCACTGACCTAAATAGATGTGGCTCGCAAAAAAGCCACAGCACAGGTCTCTGGAAAGATTCTAGCCAGAGGCCGACTCAGGCTGTTCTAATCACTGGCCCACGTCCCTCTAGGCTGGAGAGCAGGAGCAGGAGAGGGCAATTAGCAGAAATATGAATGCATGCGGTAGGACTGGCGGGCAGGTCTGTGGGTGTTTTTGGAGGTAATTGATTCAAACAGAGGACCTG